ACTCGCGAGGATCGAGGTGTAAGACGGAGATCGACGCGGAGACACTGGCAAACGAGCGCAAACACTGTCCAACCTTCCCTCAAACCTGGTGGAGTGGTGTTCCAGCGTTTGTCGTTGCATCACAGCGATAAAACAATGCCAAGATAATAGCGTTTACCCGTGTGCCTTGGAGCGTCTTGGAGCCGGCAGCCTAGCCGCGTGCCATTTCTGGACCCCCGTTGATCTCGTTTCTTCCGTAGCCACCCCTAGCTGTGTACGCCCCGACCGGGGGTTGGAAGGGGTATATAGGTCATTCCAGGTGAAACGAGCGAACTCATTGAACTCATTGACGTTCCGAACGCCGAAGAAACCGATCGTTGAAGCATGTTTGAATGCCACGTTCCCTCTCGTCGCGCTATATTTCCTCTGGTTTGAAAATCTCTTTTTTCCCCGGTTTTTACGAATTGTAATTCCTGCTTCGTTTATCTCCGTCGTAATTCACCGTTGCTAATTTCGCTGGATGTTTGAGCCCGTTTGAAGGTGCGTGCGAGTGTACGTAGGTGGATCGAGTTCGACGTCATCGAGTTGATTTTATTGGGAAAATGGTTTTTCAGAAATCAGACTATGCAAACGAAGTTCATCGAATTAAAATTGCAATTCAACGAGCGTCGAATTATATTTCGGTTATTTACGAGGTACGTGGATTCAGAGTTGGGGGGCTGGAGCTTCGCGTAATGCAGATTTCAAAGGCTTCTTTGTTTACTTTGTTATTTTCCGGTGGAGAACGGAAATAGTAGTACGGCACTGTACCACCGGGTAATTTAATTAACATTCGTAATTATTTAATGGACATATTATTAATTCACTTTCTTTATTAATATAAGAGAATATAAATTCTTGGTATAATTATTTCTCCATGGAATAATATCTTGGTTACGATATAATAATTAATGTTTCGTTTATTTAATAAATTCCGTCCAAATATACATTCGGGAGAATAGAAGAGAGGAAAAATCTAGGTAAACGAAGAAATTCATTCAATTTAGAATTACCCATAAACACCCCTAAATCACAGTTTAAGTCTCCCTTCTCCAATCCAGAAAAAACAAAAAAGGAACGAGAAAGAATGCTTGAACAGCACTCTAACCTCCCTCCAAAGCAGCACCTCAGACCCTCGAGAGCCTTGCAACTGCCCAAGGCCACCGTGAACCCGATCGATCTCTCGCAACATTTTGCCCGTGTATCGTAAACGAACCCGTTTCAACGCACTGACAGGCCGACATGGCCAACGGGAAACCCTTTTGTCGATCGTCGGATCGCCGTTAACGATTTCCTTAAGTGGCAGGGACACGGGTATTCCCGTCACGAGGGACACGAGGACCGTTTCTCATTAACGCGTTTCCGGTCGCGAGAAACCGTCGAAAAAAATGTCATTATCGGGCTCGGTGTCTCGTGAAACGGACTCGAATCGGCGTCTCGTTACCGCCTTTCCTCCTGGCGGACGCTCGAAAGGATCTCGAGGGCGTCCTTTCAGACCAGCGATCCTTAATTAATCTGGAAATCGAATCGGGAGCGAGGGAGGGTGGTAAAAGGAAGAGAGGTGAATTCTCGGCCGATAGGTCGAAGTCGGATACAGGCCAGGGACGGCTTAACGCGACTCAGAGTCGCTCGGGGTGAGAGAACGAAGGGCGATCGAGGTACCGGAAATCCCTCCCGGCTCGATTTAGATTTCCCGTTTCAACTGTTTACCGGCCGCTAAATCGCTCCTCCTTTTGCCCATCTCTAATCGCTTTTATCCCGGCTAGACTGTTATCGGGGCTGTGCGCCGCGATCCCGACCATCTTCGCGTGAATTACGCTCCGATCGGCGTACCGGAAATGAAGACGGACGCTGAGGAGGAGAGAGGGAGACAGGGAATGGGTGCAAGGCGTGCGACGAGAATGGGAATTTAGCAGGATTGTCGGTGTAGCGTGAAATGTTTTGGCAAGGGATTATGAGGGTGGAAAGAGTTGGCTGTGTTAGGGTGAATGATTTTTTAAGGGATCAGGCGAAGATTTTTGTAGAATAGTTTATCGAGCTTGTTCCCTGAGATGATCGAGGAAATTCTTGGGGGTGAAGGAAACAGCGTTTTTTGGGAAATTTGGTGTACCCTTGGGGTTGTTTTAATGGGATAATTGGTGTGTGGTAATATAATAGCAATCTTTATAATTTTTAGGATCTTTTGAATTATTTATGCTGTCGTAATATCGGGTATTCTTGTTTTAATAATTCCTCGCTAATTTACAAGATTTTTCACAAATTTAATCTGTTCGTGTGACGAAATGGTAGCACAGGTATGAAAATACGGTCATGTTTCGTTTATTAAGAAGGAAAACGTTTTCCAAGTATTATTTTGTACTTACTCAAATCAAATTTATTAAGTCTAGTATATAGATGATTAAAAAGTAGCAATTTTTGCTGCATTTATGAAAATTCATCAAAAATATTCATTTTTCGAGTTCTTCGAAATTTGGTGAACCCTTAGGGCTGTTTTAATGGGGTAATTGGTGAGAAGACAAAATAATAGGGAACTCTATCAATTTTACGGTCTTTTGGATCACTTATGCTGTCATAATATCGGGTATTCCTTTTTTAACAATTCTTCGTTAATTTACAAGATTTTTCACAAATTTAATCTATTCGCGTGACAGTGAGCGTGACAAAATGGCAGCACAGGTACGAAAATAAAATCAGACTTCATTCTTTAGGAACGAAAATATTTTCCAAGTATTATATTATACCTACTGAAATCAAATCTAATAAATCAAGTAGATAAATGAATAAAAAGTAACAATTTTTGCTATATTTATGAAAATTTCCCTAAAATTGGTCATCTTTTCAGTTCTTCCCAAATATACCAATTTTACCTTTAATTACAAATCGTGCGTTGCAATTTTTTCCCGAACAAAAATTAGATATTTTTAAATCCAGGGTTTAATTTTTGGAAATTAAGTATCGCGGAAGACGAGGGCGAAAGTGGAAAGAAGGCTGGGCGTGAAAAATTAAAATAACGAGCCAGGGGGAAGCTAGTATATAATTTTTGTTACGAAGAGCGTAATGGCGTGGTTATGACCGCGCGGTTATGATGTATTTTATAATTAGACCACCCGAGCATTAATAAGTCCAACGTGGCTTTACGATTATGGGGCGAGATAAGATTGTGAAAGTTAGTAAGAACTCTATTTTATGCTTCCGCAATCGTAGCATGAGATGCAGATAACGGTGCCGTATTCCGACTGCAAGTGTATTTAAGCAGTTACGTAAAATCTTGAGTGGATTAATCTTACGTAAAGGCTGCAGGGGCGGTGGTTATGATTATGGGAGGAGATAGACGGTTCATGGGAATAGCCTCGTCTAGTAACCAAACTTGCCTACCGCGTGTATTACAGTAGCATAACATTGTTTGATATTCCGTTCACATAATGAATTATTCATTCCTCCATTTCTTATCACCGTTCCACCTTCCGGCTGAAAACGTTAAAATCACCCCTTCCGAAAGTTTGCGACGCTTAAAAAATACCCCATCGTCGTAATCTTCGAAAAATATTATCCAAATTGTACATCAAAATCTAGGCAGACAAACCTAGGTATTTATCTTCCTTCTTTATTTATTCATTTAGGGTAATCTTCTATCTCTTATTCGAAATGTTTCTGGATATCACGAAAGGGTTGGAAAATGTTCGATGGGGTGTATTCAAATGGGACACCATAAACGTGTAATTTAAAGGGCAATAAGTTTCCAAGCGTATTATAAAAATCTTTTCGAAATTTCGTTATAAACCGTGAGATTATGGCGCGATTATGTGCGCGGTGCTCTTACCTGAGGGGAATTTTATGGGCAAGGTGGTGAAATGAAAGAACCCATAGGAATTATGCCTGACGTTTCTCTTTATTGTTTGAAATGTGTCGTAACGATCAGATATGGATCATGTAAAATTACAATAAAACGTAAATATGACGAATCCATCGTGTATACATATACGTATATGTATATATATATTTATATATGTATATATATAAATTCTTGTACGCCACCAAAAAAGATGCGTGTGTCGAGAGACCGAAAATGAAAGAAAAGTTCAATTATCCCGAACGCCATAAATGTGAATCACCCTCGCCACTCGTCCTGCCGATTCAGATTTATGCCCTTCGTTTTTCGATCCCGATCATCCCCCCGCTCTCCGCCCCTTTAATACGCGATCGACCCCGCGATCACTGGCTCGTGATCGCGATCTATATCCCCCCCGCTTACTTTCACCGTGTTTATCCCTTCCCACCCATAATATTTTTTTCCGTTTTTTTTTTTTGTCTTTTTTTTTAATTACACACCGTCGTAAATCTAATTCACAATCATACACTATGTACAACGTCGCGTCTCGCGTGAACGACTCGCTTTTCAATTAAATTATATTGCTATAGCGTTCCCTTTTTGCTCCCCACTATACCGCACGACCATCCACATTTCATACTCCGTTCCTACGTATCCTCGATGTACACACGTACACCGACCTGCGCAAATCCAAAATTCCTTCCCAATCACCCGCGAAACGCCCCCCGTGAGAGCCATATGAGCAACGAAGTTCACAGTGGCAGTGAAGAATGGCAAATTAGGTTCGGACCAGGGACTCTTACCGAAACCGAAAAATACCGGTATCACGCTGGTAAATATTATACTAGTACATTTATTACCCTCGCAAATACCGAAATGCGAAAATACGAATAATGAAAACCGAGAAAATTGGTTATATCGATACCGATACCGAAAATACCGGTTTGCGTATCGATTAATTTTCTGTTTTGCTAAAAGAGATTTTGCAATTACCGATTTATTAAGGTAGGAAAGAAATTTTGTTGCAGAAACAGAGAATTTTATTTTAGTGTAAGTTGAAATAAGTCAGCAAGAAAGAAAATGACGAGTTTGTCAGATGTTTGACTAATACCGGTATTTATTTCGGTTTCCGATGATAAATCAATTTCGATTACCGGTTACAATCGATTTTGGTATAGTTCTGTTGGCTCAGCGTATCGGATCCGTGGCTCAGGCTAGCCTGCACCTGGGATCGAATCGAACAGCGAACTTTACGTCAACGATTCTTTTGACATTTAAGAAGCAACGGCTTTACCCGGACAAAATGATCCCAATGATCGAGCGAGCTTCAGTGGCGATTTCCGACGAGTCGGTTAAACATGCAAAGGTGCTAAGTTACCGCGGTTAAATGATCGAAGGATCGCTAGGAGATAGGCGATCGCCATCGACGCGAGGGGGTGATGGACGCAGCTGCTGGATCTAGGTGGCTCTTGGGCCAATCGCTGATTGCTGGCGGCCAGCGTCGCGGTTTCCTTCCTCTCCAGCACCCTCGCACCGATGATCCCTGGCAGCGTCGACTGACAGCTCAGAGTCAGGGTCCCACCCGGGAAATGGTGTCGTTCCAGACGCAGGGTCAGGCCTAGTCGCGTCGAAGACACGATGCTGTCGTCAGAGGAGTCGATGCTTGGCAACTCTCTGGTCCACGGTTTGTTCACCTGTTGACGAGACAGGGTGGTTTTTACTGGTTCTTGCCCCAAATTTCTTTCAAAGATTGGGAATTGTTTGACAGTTTGCTCTGCTGGGTCCTTGGATGTTGAAACAGTGGCTAGGGTGGATGGAGACTTTGCAAGTTGCAAGGTTTTATTGGGATTTAGATATCGGATAGGTTGTTATTGACAGATTATTAGCATTTTCAGCTTTTATATAGCGTTATAGCAGATGAATAGATTAGTGGCTCTGACAGACTGTTGCGGATGATCGAACCAACTGATAGTATTGAATCTGTGAATTGAAAATTTGTATTTTCAGAGTTCGTTTTGGACCAATGGATTTAGGTGACTTTGGCAGTTTGTTGTGGACGTTCTATGGGATTTTGGGTGTTGGAATAGTTTGGTAGATAACTGAATCTCTGGTTTAATTTAAATGGATCGATTGTTTCATTAATAGTAGGATGATTGTATAGAATATAGCTGAATCACAGCTAAATGTGCAGCTACGATATCACTGTGCAACTCTGATTATCGAGTAAATATATGTATTGATCTGGGGTAACTAGTTGGTTATGATGCTGCTGTGTACAGTGTTTATTGATACGAATTGATAATATAATATTTAAAAATAAATTACTAGGCTTGTCTCTCTTAAACGAGAGATCCGTCAGAGTGACGTGATCCAGGGATAGAGAATTAATAGTTATCACACGGCTTGGGACGCCATCGCGATAACCTAGACGTTAGCCAAGCATCCGAGGTGAGCTTCCCCGGCTCGTGGTGAGGAAAATTTAATACCTGGCTTTCCGTCTGTTATTTTTGAGACGAAAACGGGTTCTGAATGCACAGTAAGCAAGTTTAAAAGTATCCTCGACTCTAAACTGACGGTTTTAATTCCTCCCTCCCCGCGAAGAAGTTTTTGAAGGGCCAGAATGCAGGGGGTGCGGTGGCTGGAACACTACACGAGCACCTTTTAAGCGGTTCTCATGATTTTATATCCTTAGCCAGCGTTTGCATTTGCAATTCAGAGGCATCGCGAGTTCTCTTCATTTCCACAACTTCCACGCCCAGTTGCACCCCCGTTGTTGTCGCGTTTACGACACGTCAATCTTGAGAAACTGTCCCTAAGGGACGACGTAGAGTTTCCGCGACTTAATTAAGACCCGCGATTTTTCCAGCTTAATCGAGTTTCTTATCCGAGCAAAGATATTACAGCCCGGTGTTTCCCGCGCCGGAATAATTCAATTCCGAGTCTTCTACTTTGAATTAGCACGGAATTTCTTAACGTTTCCCTGAATCATCATAATTCTGTATTTTCCGTCCTTTCTAAGTCCAAGTTACCCAACAAACAACTTTCGAATTAGCTTTCCAAATTCAAAGTAGCTTCAGGGAAATACAGGGTGGCCGCTGAAAGACTGAACAATGTAAATAATTCTACGAACACTTGTTTTATTAATTTTCTGTGAAAAATAATATCTTTTAAAGGACCTTTTCAAGCCCTTCAACTTTTCAGTGGCCATTCTGTATGATAAATAGCGTTACCATTTCTCTGACAATGACAGAACTTTGGTATCGAATCAGGTATTCTCTCCAACCCTTCTCTAACTACCCCAATTTTTCCATTCCATCTAAATAAAAAATTATTAGCCGAAGGATGAGGGGATGGCGCTAGTGATTCAGAAGACTTTCTTCCTCTTTATTTGACTGACTGCCCTTCGGCTCGACACTTCGAAGATTCGACACCCCTCTACCGATCGTCTCGCCATCAATAGGTTTAAGTGTTTTAGGCGTGAACAGTTGTAGACGTTGCCTGTCACCTATTTACACCGTCTGTTCTAAGATCGCTTACGTGTTATTAATAGAAATAGATAACTAATTTTCGCTTATCTCCTAAATTAATTAATTACCGCGAGCATTCCTCAAAATTGATCCAAATCAGTATAACACTGTGCAAAGACGAGGCACCTGAAAACAGCCCCGAATCGTAATCTGATAGGAGAATAATAGCCCGAAAGGGGCGAGATGAAGTCATATTTATCGTCACGGGGCGATCGTTTATCAGGCAAAGAGCAAATGGCCAGATCAGAGACTCGCGTGAACTTTGGCGGGATGAGAACACCTTCGTCCGTGTGTCTGGGCGATACATTAGGGCGAACTGCACCGTATTTCACATCGGGTATCGCGCGCGATCAAACGGGCCCGCTCGCGTAGTTTTATAGATAATAAATGTTTATACCCTGTGTGCAGCGTGTTAAATCGCAGGGAAGCAGGGCGAAGGCTCGTTCATAACGACGTCGGAAGGATCCAGCGGTTTTCACCGCGTTAAATCGAGCCAGAGTTCACGAGAGGAATGGGAAGGACTCGTTGCGGGGAATCGGGATCGGCGAATTCCGCGTGGCTGGCTTGGATCTTGCGCGCGATCGTGATTTCGAACGTGACGGGTGGAGAGAGCAAGTGTGACGATAAGGATTCATTTTTCTTCGGCAATAGTGTATTCGAGAGTCACGATGGATCGTCCTGCAGATTTCCGTCCCAGCCCTCTGGCATATACGCTCGACGCAGAAGTGTATTTGCATACATTTGAATCGGATCTTTGGTTAAGCGCGTTTTCCTGTAATCCGTCCAATAAAAACCGACTGCCTTGGGATTTTTTTCGAAGGAAACCACGTTACATTATGTTATTTATACTTGAGGAATATTTACAATTTTTCTTTTTGTAACGAAACTATTGAGAATCTTGGAAATTACATAGCCTTAGGTAAATGGTGTTTTTAAAAACAGGCTCTAATGATTGACGTTATTCTGGTACACCTGGTTATCTAAACCGAAAGAACTAAAGAGCGTCTTGATTAGTATGAATGTGGCTATAGCATGGACCACTAGCACAGCGAAATTTCGAAAATTAAAAAAATGGCAGCATTTTGAAATTTAAATATCGACCTCTTATGCTTTTCGCCCTTTGGGGTGGTAAATAAAAATAGAAAAAAAATATCAGATTTTAAAATTCGTGGTTTATGTGGTGAAGGTACATTCGCTGAAGATCTCCCCCAAATTTCAAGTCAATCGGTTAACTAAAACTCGAGATATCCCATCAGCCAGTTCAAAAAGTATGGTTTCGAGAAAAACGCTGTATAAGTGACTGTACATCGCAATTTAAGCATCTATAACTTTGCTAATTTCACGATTTCAGACAAATCCAGTTACACAGAGATTTTCGAAAACATGTACTTTGAGAAAATGTAAAAAAGGAAATTGATTTTTGTAAATCAAATTACAGGAATACCGTCTGAATTTCGCGCAACGAATTGGAGTTGCTGTTGAATTGAAATATCGCTGGAAACGTAGAGTGTTGAGAAATCGTTTCGCGTTTGGAAAAGAAGTGAGCTGGGAGTATTGATCAACCTCTTGGCTTGTTACTCTTTTAGCAGCTACTTAAGCGAGCGTTAATTATTCACTGTCGTAACACCCTATCCGATGCTAGATATCGAAACACTGTGTAACGTTTATTTTTAGTTACTTAGTTTCTGCGATATTAGTGAGAAAGATAAAGTCAAAGTTAGGATTGAACTTTGCTGTAGAAACATAACCTATATTTGCCGAATCGAACTTGCAAACAGTGTTGTTAATGCGACACGATATTATAAAGCTAGGAAGAACAGTGTATAAATATAAAATAAAAATGAGAATCGATTTTAATAGTAAAAGAATAATTATTGAAACGGAAGGAACAGGAAAATCATTTAATATCCGATTCTCCGATAGATTCGTTTGATTCGAACCTAACCTAACCTAAACCACGAGTGAAAGACCCATTAGAAATGGCTGACGCTCGCGAGAGCGACCTCTGTCGAGAGCAGATGGCGCCACGAGCGAGTCATTGCTCCATGGCGGCTGGAATCTGAAAGTCTAAAGTTCATGGATGGCAACGGAACGTCTCTCCAGGCTCTAATAGCCGTACATTCTCATAAAACTATAGCTACCCTTACCTCTTTTCCGTTGAGGATAAAGACGAGCTGGGCTGGAGGGTAGCTGGCCGCGGAACTGCATTCCGCTTGGAGCGTTCCACCCGCCTCGTAAGAAGGTCGAAGGCCACGTAGACTGGGTCGGTCCTTTGGAGGAATGGCGACGCTCATATTCGCCTCGTCGTAGATCGTGAGGAAACTGGGCCCTTCAGAGGACACCTCGCAGCCATAGGACCCCGCGAGATTCACTTTGCCTGAAATACAAATTATGCATAATTTTTTTTTTTTTCTTTTCTTTTCTTTTCTTTACTTCGATTTTGCATTGGAATTTTAAATATATTGGAATTTTCTTCTATCCAAACTTTTCTTTTCTTTTCTTTACTTCGATTTTGCATTGGAATTTTGAATATATTGGAATTTTCTTCTATCCAACGAATTTGCTTTGGTTATGGAGTAATATGGCACAGGTGACAAAGGGTGTATAAATACAATACAAATTATGCATAATTTTTCTTTTTTTTTTTCTTTCTTTTCTTTACTTCGATTTTGCATTGGAATTTTAAATATATTGGAATTTTTTTCTATCCAACGAATTCGCTTTGGTTATGGAGTAATATGGCACAGGTGACAAAAGGTGTACAAATACAATACAAATTATGCATAATTCTTTTTTTTTCTTTCTTTTCTTTACTTCAATTTTGCATTGGAATTTTAAAGATATTTGAATTTTTTTCTGTCCAACCAATTTGCTTTAGTTATGAAATAATATGGCACAAGTGACAAAGGGTGTAACTTAGTAGGATTTGGAAGAATTATTTTCATATTTTTGGATGTCGAATATCGATGATTTGGGAATTATTGTATTTATTAATATGTTGACTGTCGAAATTTTGCATGTGATATATATTACATATTAAAAAGAGGGAATAATGTTTGAATTCTTTAATCTCGTTACTTTACATTTCCGATTTTTGCATGAGTAATTTTGGTTGTTGAAATGTTGGTAATACATCGCGATTTGTTTTATCGATATTGGTATTAATAATTTCAAAGGATAGATGTGGTAATAGAAAATTCTTGTGGAAACGTGTCGCGCAATAAAATAATTCCTACAATGAACGTTGAGTGAAAAACGAGAATTACGATTCATTTGTAACACTCAATGGATACAGTCGTATTTATTCCAGAATATATGTGCAATGATTAAAACGTTACTTTAATACGTTGTATAATTTATCATTTACTCGAATAAAAAATTCAGCTACAGTTTGTTCGCTGCCATATCAGATGGCTTCGTTTTGATTAACGCCTGTTCATTTAATGAACATTTAAATTGAAAAAAATTCTCATTTTCCCACATCTGTTGAGACTTTAATCCCCTGAATAATAGTTAAAGAAAACATTTAAACGAGTAAACCGAATTAAGCCGTTACCCGTTATCGTATCAGGTTAATGATTTTTCATTACCATTGGAATTAACTTCTTCCTCGAACATTGCAATTTTTTAATATCAGCAATTGTTGAAGTATTCCTTTGATCGAGATAAAATATTTTTCATACGGTTTTCGACAAAGAAAATTTAATAACACGGGATATTAAACAATTATACAGAACGGTGTTAATAAACGTTTATAAAATTCATCCCTTTTCAGGGATTGCAGAGGAAAAATCTGCCCCTATCCTTTAATACCCAACTTGGAATAATTAAAAAATTATTAAAAAATAATTAAAATAAGTGAAAAAAATATTTTTCCATTATTCTTCGCAATTTTACTAATTTAAACGTCGAGTTTTAAAATAAAATTCAAAAATTATACCAAAATACTATATTTTCATTCCACCTTAAACAGCGGTGCCCATAGAATTCTCCAAATATTTTTACACGCATCTGTATTAAGGAAAATTAAAAATCGTGAAACCTAGTAAATAATTAAAAAAATGACGTCCGATGCAAAATTTTTAATGCACTATTCAGGAAACAAGTAATTAATAATAAAAGACAATTCTAACTTCGAAGCTAATTTATTAAATTTTCCACCTTAAACAGCGGTGCCCATAGAATTCTCCAAATATTTTTACACAAATCTGTATTAAGGAAAATTAAAAATCGTGAAACCTAGAAAATAATTAAAAAATGACGTTCGATGTAGAATTCTTAGTACAGTGTTCGGGAAATAATTAATTGCTAGTAAAAGGCAATACTAACTTCGAAGCTAATTTATTAAATTTTCCACCTTAAAGAGCGGTGCCCATAGAATTCTCCAAATATTTTTACACACATCTGTACTAAGGAAAATTAAAAATCGTGAAATATAGAAATAATTAAAAAATGACGTTCGATGTAGAATTTTTAATGCAGTGTTCGGAAAATAATTAATTAATAATAAAAGGCAATACTAACTTCGAAACTGATTTATTAAATTTTCCACCTTAAACAGGGGTGCCCATAGAATTCTCCAAATATTTTTACACACATCTGTACTAAGGAAAATTAAAAATCGTGAAATATAGAAATAATTAAAAAATGACGTTCGATGTAGAATTTTTAATGCAGTGTTCGGAAAATAATTAATTAATAATAAAAGGCAATACTAACTTCGAAACTGATTTATTAAATTTTCCACCTTAAACAGGGGTGCCCATAGAATTCTCCAAATATTTTTACACACATCTGTACTAAGGAAAATTAAAAATCGTGAAATATAGAAATAATTAAAAAATGACGTTCGATGTAGAATTTTTAATGCAGTGTTCGGAAAATAATTAATTAATAATAAAAGGCAATACTAACTTCGAAACTGATTTATTAAATTTTCCACCTTAAACAGGGGTGCCCATAGAATTCTCCAAATATTTTTACACACATCTGTACTAAGGAAAATTAAAAATCGTGAAATATAGAAATAATTAAAAAATGACGTTCGATGTAGAATTTTTAATGCAGTGTTCGGAAAATAATTAATTAATAATAAAAGGCAATACTAACTTCGAAACTGATTTATTAAATTTTCCACCTTAAACAGGGGTGCCCATAGAATTCTCCAAATATTTTTACACACATCTGTACTAAGGAAAATTAAAAATCGTGAAATATAGAAATAATTAAAAAATGACGTTCGATGTAGAATTTTTAATGCAGTGTTCGGAAAATAATTAATTAATAATAAAAGGCAATACTAACTTCGAAACTGATTTATTAAATTTTCCACCTTAAACAGGGGTGCCCATAGAATTCTCCAAATACTTTTACACGCATTTGTATTAAGGAAAATTAAAAATCGTGAAACCTAGGAAATAATTAAAAAATGACGTTCGATGTAGAATTTTTAATGCAGTGTTCGGAAAATAATTAATTAATAATAAAAGGCAATACTAACTTCGAAACTGATTTATTAAATTTTCCACCTTAAACATTGGTGCCCATAGAATTCTCCAATTATTTTTACACGCATCTGTATTACGGAAAATTAAAAATCGTGAAACCTAGGAAATAATTAAAAAATGACGTTCGATGCAAAATTTTTAATGCAGTGTTCGGGAAATAATTAATTGCTAGTAAAGGGCAATACTAACTTCGAAGCTAATTCTCACCCCGCGTAGTAGTACTCCGCTTGGAGGAACTCGCATCGGTGGTTCCTCAGCGAGCAGAACTGAAGACGAAAGAATGAGAGCGCACCCCATCGAAGCTCATCCTAGTGGCCCCACCCCCAGGGTCGTAATGAATTAACAAAGTTACACCGGCTACTTGGGTAGCTCGAATGCAATCAACCCGAAGATTAGAATCCTAAGAGAAGATGCGCGGAAGGGAAGAGGAACGAGGAGAACGTGGATCCCTGTGGAACGGAGAAAAATGGGCGGGAATAGAAATTTAATAGGGGCTAGCCTCGTTCGGGACGAGGAAAGTTCGTTGGTTATTTAAGCGAAATTTCAGCCAGCCCGTTAACTTTCATCGTTCGCTCGCTTCAACTTGCGAAGACCTCGCGGAGTTACTGTTTCGATTTTAATCTAAAATTGCGAGCCTTCGCGGGGATCTTATCGGGCAGTCTTCCTCCTCTTCCTCTTCTTCGAGTTTCGGCGAGATTTGTTTTTCGTTCCCTATGTTTGTTATAATATTTTCGGCCCTGAAACGCAGCTTGACGGGAAGACAGGTCGATGAGCGCGAGGCAAAGAGAAACGAACATAAGTTTAATAGTTTCGTTGGTGTAATGGCGGCGGGTAGGATACGGTATTCTAGTTGAAAGTTTTAGAAAGAGAAGACTGGCAATAAATTTGAAAAATATCGAAATATAAATTAGCTGGAGAAATTTCGAATATTTTGGCGAATAATATCAGCCTAGGAATTAAAAGCGGAGCAACAAATACTTGATACGAAAAATATGAAAACCCTCAACAGAGTTGATGTGACATTAATTTTAATTCAAAGAAAAGAAAAATGTCAGTCTAATTTAACACTAGAACTACCGATTTTTAATGGGCACCTAACTATAACGTGCACAGATTATAGTAATTTCAGCGATACGATGAATATGAGTAAATATATTGATTACAGTTCTTTCTTAACCCTCTATGGGCCCGTGTAACTTTCAAGTTGCATGCTAATGTATGGGTATTTTATTAAATACTGCATTCAGTGTTATCGTTTTCATCACTCCAGTTCTCGATTTTTCTTTCGATATAGTTTTAATTATTTTTACAATACCTCCCGTAGGTCCATTTTTAAAATTCTAATTCTTTTTCATTTACCGGTTATTCGATTATGATAGGTTAGGTCCTCTATGACCCCGTATGACCTTTCTTCCACAAGATGGCGTGGAAAATTATCTTGTCTATTTATTGCACATTATCTTGGCACAATAATACAAACGTTGTTAATTCAAACTTTCAATATGAATTCGTTATAATAAAATTGTCGAAACTGCTGAATTTATTGGTTGATATTTGTTGATTTTATGTTACATGCAATTCTTATAGTCAAGAAAAATATATATTCGGTCCATAGAGGGTTAATACGAGTTGATACCAATTGCATTCTTAAATTAGGTGTATGTGTTCGGTGATTGCAAAAAGGAAAATTCTGGGACCAGTCATTTTTACTGGATTGGTAGTTCTAGTGTTAAGAGACGTTTGTTGAAATTCCGAATTATAAACAGTATGGAAACCTTTATTTTCGCAATTTTTAATCAGTGCCAAATGGAAAATAAGTGCAAACTTGTTAAGACATTTGTCACCTGTAAGTCTCTCATCACCCCATGACAGAAATATTGTAATTTTATCATTGATGATTTCGTCACTGATATTTTTTCAATCTCAAGAATTTCCCTCGGTTCGTTATTTCTAATAATTTTCAGTATTTTCTCAGTGCAGGAGAAAATGCTAATCTCTCATATTCTCAAAGAATGAGAAACCCGAGGAGACAATAAAACAACGGTGTCTTGCTACGTTCAGCCTGAAAGAGCGAAAGCCAACAGAGAATCTTCGTGTTCCCTGGCACTCGACTCTGGTCGAAACACTCCGACCCGGCAGTTAACAATTTATCAACACTCTGTGCACATTAAACTGCATAATTCGCCGGCAAATTGCACGCCTTTCAACGTTAGAGCTTCGCAGCTTCTCGGTCGACTAACCCTCGACACTCGATCCTCGCGCACGGTTCACCCGAATACTCTCCCATCCCTCGAACCGATCGATCTCAGACGCTCGTGTGTTCCCGGACCACGATCACAGGCAAAACAGACGGCCATGGTGGCTGCTGCACGCACGTACAGCGACCGTGGGGTCGGGGAAACGGAACAAATCGAGAACTCTGTACGAACCTCTCCGATTGTTCGCCTGTCCCAGCAGCGTCACCTGTTTGCTGTCGCTCTTGTTCACGTTCACGTACACCCCATCGACGGGGAAATCTCGACCCGGTGGCCTCGAGCCCGGCATAAACCTGAAGAACTCGGCTCCGTCCTTGTACCATTTCACGGAATACAGATCCTCGCCGCTTAGGTCGTATTCGCATCTCAATATCACCTTCTCCCATCTTGGGTCCGCTATACTGGGCACGTCTAGTCTCAGTAGCTTGATCGACGCACCTGTAAGAACCAAAGATTCGCGTGTCTTTGAAATAGTCTGGATATGGAGTGTTGAAACATACACAATTGAAATAACAAAGGTGATAAAACATGGAAATAACAATAAAATGGTTCTCAATTTCAGTAGGAATACTAGAATAAACTAACAGAATTAGAATTTTTATAAAAATAAAAGGCAGAGTGAAAAATTTCCGATGAGAATATTAAAACTATCGAATCAAATTTTAAATAAAAATTTTTCAAACAGGAATTTTCGCTTTTCGAATAATAGTAGTAAATAATGGTTCTCAGTTTCACTGGGAATATTAGGATTAATTGTCAGAATTAGAATTTTTATAAAAATAAAGAACGGCGTAAAAAATTTTTGATGACTATATTAAGACTATCGAAACAAAGTTTAAATTAAAATTCTTCGAACAGGAATATTCGCTTTTTAAATAACAGTAGTAAATAAATTGGCGTTATGTCAATTTTTATTCCAAATTTAATCGTTATATGTATGCAAATTAATATTATATTTCGAAAAATTGATTGAAATTTGCCCGATATTCGCGACATCTACACTATCTCTACTGCGCATGCGCAACTGCGCTTGCGTAACGTCACAAAATGTCCGCCAAGCGAAGCATAGAGGTTATGCGTTGTATTCCTAACTTTCAAGTAAAATCGTATTGATTTTTGTTTATTTCTTTATACCAGGAATGTTATATTTAAATGATTATGGTTGCTTAGAAGGATACGTATTGTATATTTGGTTTAATTTTACAAAATTATTGATGGAAAGGAGTTGGTTTGCTTGTAGAGTTTTTAAATTAAGGGTGCAGTTTCGAAGGTTTCCTTTGATTCGTTCCCTTTGACAACGAGGGCGCTTTATGGCGACAGGAAGGTGGAGATTTGGTGAAAGAAAGGTAGTAAATTTTAAAGTCCATGAGCAAAAGGGAAGTGGTTTTTATTGGTGTTTGGTTTCCTTTGTGGGACGGTGTTTTAGACGAGGAGTGTTTCATGGCGATTGGAATTTCAAGAGCGGGTCAAGGAAAGGTGGCGAGTTCTGAAATTTAGGATAGAGAGAGCATTTTATTGGTATTTTCTATCGGTTTCCGCCGGTGAAAGGGATTTAGGGCGAAGACTGTTCTATTCAGGCAAAGTTTCGGAATTCGGGAATAAAGCAAAGGTTCTCAGTTTAGTGATTTCAGGGCAGCGAGAGGAAAACTTTGCTGTGGTCCTCCTTTCTCGTAGAAATATACGCTATCTCTACGAGAAATTATTCTTCTATAAAATTCGCTAACCATACGGTTAACGAATAATTATTTCATTTCATCCTCGCTTAAAATAAATAAGTTAGATACATAAAAATGGAGGAAAATAATTTACACGATGTCAAAGAGGGTTGATAAAATTCTAATATTGTTAAAATCATTTCTTAAAAAACTTAATACTCTAATAACCCCATAGAATAATTATAAAATCTTTACGTTACTCCTATAACACTATTTCATTTCAAAGTTATGCACCCATTTAATTCCTACTATATTCGTCTATTTTAGAAATATTCCATTCACTATTAAACGATAAATAAAACGGAAATAAATAAATAGAGACATAGAAATGGTGCAAAAAATAATTTACACGATGTGAAAGAGGGTTGATAGAAATCTAATATTGCCAAAATCATTTCATAAAAGTTTTAATACTCTAATAATTATAAAATCTTTACATTAATCCTATAACACTATTTCATTTAAAAATTATACGCCTATTTAATTCCTATTATATTCATCTATTTTAGAAATATCCTATTCAGTACTGAATGATAAATAAAATAGATATATAAAGATGGAAATAATTTACCCTATGTCAAAGAGGGTGGATAAAAATCTAATATTGTCAAAATTATTTCTTAAAAAACTTAATACTCTAATAACCCCATAGAATAATTATAAAATCTTTACGTTACTCCTATAACACTATTTCATTTCAAAGTTATGCACCCATTTAATTCCTACTATATTCGTCTATTTTAGAAATATTCCATTCACTATTAAACGATAAATAAAACGGAAATAAATAAATAGGTACATAAAAATGGAGGAAAATAATTTACACGATGTGAAAGAGGGTTGATAAAAATCTAATATTACCAAAATCATTTCGTAAAAGTTTTAATACTCTAATAATTATAAAATCTTTACGTTAATCCTATAACACTATTCCATTTAAAACTTACACTCCCATTTAATTCCTTCTATATTCGTCTATTTTAGAAATATTCCACTGACTACTAAACGATAAATAAACCGGGAATAAAATTGAGCAGTGTACCACAATAAATAACACCAGACCTCGATTATTCCCGTGCAAACAAACCTCCCACCCGGATGATTAATCAAACTTTCCCGCCAAAAATTCCTCCGATCTTCGCGACTAACCTCGTTACACCCACCCTCGACCCGCCATTAAACCCCGAGCCGTGGAACAACAAAGAGCGTTCATTTTGAGCACTGAAAAATCGTCTGGTTCATTAACGAACGTCCACTCACGGAAGATGTAAATGCGACAGAATTTGTGCAGCTGGCCAGTAGCGTAAACAAGCGTCGAAAAAGTTTACACTGAAAGCGGCTCGCCGCTAGTCGAACTCCATTTGCCGGTCGACTGCTGGCGCGCGAGAAAAACAGCAATTATCGGCGTAATGGGTGGGTATTTGACAATGAAAAAAGAAAAAAAATCGGGGGGCGGGGGGTAGGAGGACCGAAAGAAGTGAAAAGCAGACGCG